TCGAATATTGAGCACGATCGATACATATTGTAGAGAGATAATAATAATAATAAAGATAAAGTATGTGAAAAAACTTTTTTTTGACGTTTCATTGAAATTTACAAAATAAAAATAAAAAAGATTTTAATTTATGTAAAAAAAAAAAAAAAAAAAAAAAAAAATATTTTTATTTATAAGGGAAAAAAAATTATCATTTTATTGAATCCATTAAATTTTTTATGTTGGCAATTATTACCAACATCGAAATAAAAAAAAAGCAAAAAAAATTAACAAAGATTTTATTTATTACGTCACAAATAAAAATTATTATTGTCGATGATTGTAGTTATAATCTGTTTTTTTCTTTTCCTTTTTGTCTTCTGCTTTTTTTTTTAAGCGGAAATAAAAAAAGTAATAAATTAATTTCCGTAGTTTTTTTTATTCAAAATAAAAAAAAAAAAAAAATCGGATCGGATGTCAACTAAAGGTTTTCAGGTTTTTTAAAATTAAAAAAAATATTAAAAAAAAAAAAAGGTTTGAGATGAATGTCGGAAACAAAGAAAATCATCAACCAATTCCAATTTTATTCTAACCTAAATAAAATTCTATTTAAATATTAAAGTGAAATAATAATAATAATAATAATAATAATAATAATAATAATAATAATAATAATAATAATAATAAAAATTAAAAAATAATAAAAAAAAAGAAAAAAAAGGTTTCTGCTAAGGGAAAAAAAAATTATTTCCTGATTTAATTTCCTGTTTTTTTTTGGTTTTTACTAAAAAAACAATTTTTTTTTTTTTGTCAAAGTTGGTAAGAAATTTCCGTTACGAAATTTTTTTTTTTTTTGTGGAAAAGTGTCATGTCAAAACCCGAAAAAAAATTGTGAAAAAATTTTTAGGTTTTTTCCCGACCGCCCCCCCTAAAAATCCAAAAAGAAATTTTTGCATATTTTCTAAAAATGAAAAGGGATTAAGGAAGAGGGTGAGGAGTGGGGGGGAGGGAGGGAGAGGGGTTGAAAAAAAAATGGGGGTAAATTTATGAGTTGATAACTGCAAAGAAAAAAAAAGTGACAAAAGGGATTGATGGAAAAAGGTTTTTTCCTTTTTTTTATTTACAACAACCACCAAATTTTTTTTTTTTTTTTACCATTATAAATTACCATGATTTTGTTTGTATATAAAATTTATTACTTTTAAGTTTGCGGTAAAAAAAATTACCGAATGAGGAGGAGAAGGAGGAGCGGGGGCGAGGGGGAGGGGAGGGGAAAGAAGAAGAAGAAAAAAAAAAGGTTTGTTTTTAATTATGAAAAATAAATAAAGATTTTCTTTATGTTATTTTTTTTTTTTTGCATTCTTTTTTTAATAACAAATATTTATTTTTTTTAAATTGGGGGGCACATAGAATGAATTTTCTTTTTCTTTTTTTTTTTTTAATTAAAAAAATAAAAAATTAAATCGTTAAAAAAAAATTACTTTTTTATTTTTTTTTCTATAATCATTTTTCTACGTTTACCACTTGATATTTACAAAAAAAAAAGAAAATGGCGGAAAATCGTAAAGAAAATTCATTAAAAGTTATTTATAAAAAAAAAAAAAAATTTAATCGTTTTTTTTTTAAAAACTTTTATGGTGTAAACGTCAAACCTTTTCGTTCAAATTTTTTTTTTCCTTTTTGTTATATAAATAAAAAAAGAACCTTTTTAGTCCGAAAAATTTAAAAAAAAAAACTTTTCTTTCTTTCTTTCTTTTTCTCTTTCTTGTCCTTCCTGTTGGAAAAACTTCAAACCCACTTATTCAAAAAAAAAAAAAAAGGAAAAAAAAAAATTTTTTTTTTCTTTTTTTCCTTTTTTTTTATTTTCGTTGACACAATTCAGTAGAAAACTTAAATAAAAAAAGAAAAATAATAATAATAAAAGAAAAGAAAGGAGGGGGGGGGAAACTAAAACTTTTTTGTCGGTTAATATCAAAAATTATTATTATTATTATTATTTGTTTGAAAATCTTGTGCCACGAAATTTTTCCTTTTGTTCTCATTAATATTTTAACAAAAAGAAAAAAAAATTGTTTGTACCTGAGGGTAAATTGTAGTCACCCCATCGTGTTTTAATTAATTTTTTTTTCACTTTCCTTTCTTTAAATTTTGATTATTAATCAAGAACCTCCCCCATTTCTTAATTACCCCCTTCCCTCAAAAAATCCTACGTGGAAAAAATTTTCCGTCGGTTTTAAATAAACAAAAAATTGAATAAAAAAAAAAACGAAAATTGTCGAGAACGAATTTTCCTTTGTCTTTTTTATTTTGAGAGAGAGGGGGTGGGGAGGGGGAAGAGGGAGAGAGAGATGGAAAAACAAACCGGAAATCATCAGGTTGACCTTTAGTAAATAATTTTTTTTAAAAAAATATTTATTACAAAGTGTAATAAAATTTTTTTTTTTATTTCAATTTTTCTTTTCGTTTCTATTTCCGGTTATCGATAAATTATTATCATAAACCGATAGAAAAACTTATCGAATTTTATTATTTTCTTTAAGAAATTATTATTTATGTCTTTCCCTCACTTCCACCCTCCCCCATTTCTTTTTCTAATTATTATTATTATTATTATTATTATTTTTATTTAAAAAAAAAAAAAAAAAAACTGAAAATCGAATTTTAAAAACAATTATTTGTACTAAAACATAAAAAATAAAGGATTTTCTTTTAATTTCAATTTTTTCTTTTTTTTAATTTAATTATAAAAAAAAAAAAGTTTTATTTTCCCGTAACTTCCGGTTTCGAATCTCCCCGCATTATAAAAAAAAAAAACATTTATTTATTAACTTTTAATGGTTTGAAACAAAAACAACGAAAAAAAAAGAAAAAAAGAAAAAGAAAGAAAAGAAAAATTTTACCTGCCAAAGTAAATTCAACGAAAGAATTTTAAAAAAAAAAAAAGGTTGGTAACACTGTTTGATGAAGGCATATCCATCCTTTTAAAAAAAATTACGTTTTCTCGTACGCGTTCTAATGTAAAAATCCAAGATTTTTAATTAAGAAAAAAAAAAAATGGGGGGAAAAAAAATTTATGAATGAAACATTAATGTTACGTAAAAAACCTGAAAACGTTAAATAATAATAATGATATAATAATAATAATAATAATAATAATAATAATAATAATAATAATAATAATAATAATAATAATAATAATAAAAGGTAAAAAAACAATTAAAAAAATTACCCAAGAATGCGGTTGTAATTAAGGATATACTTTCGGTATTTAAAAGATACAATTCATTTTTTTTCCGACACAAAAAAAAAAAAAAATCGGATGTGCAAAAAATACTTTAAGGGTTGCACTGGGGAGTCGTGGCGGGGGGGGGGTGCGATATGGTTAAGGATAATATAAAAAATAAAAAAAGGGTAGAAAATATTAAGACAGAAAGAAAAGACTCGTTACTCGTCGTGACTTGGAAAAAATAAAAAAAATAAAAATAATTTTCACGATTATTGTTTACGTTTTAAAATGTGTGAAATGAAAACACTATAAAAAAAAAGAGAGAGAGAGAGTGGGAGAGAGAGATAAATGGCGGGAGAATGAAAAAATTAAGGGTTGGTTGGATTTAGTCGTGTTGGGGGACGATGTGAAAAGTTTAGGAAAAAAAAAATTTTCCTTCACGTCTCAAATGTTTGTGTGTTGGAAAAACTGTTTCAGTCGACGTTCAAACGTTAGACGGTAAATACACGTTCGGAGTGTTTTCCTTTTTTAACGATGAACGTAGAACGTTCGCGTATTTGTTATGATACTTTTTGGATTTTAATAATTTTTTTTATTTTAATTTCGACATCATTAAAAGGTAAAAAAAAAACAAATTTATTTTTTTATTATTAAACAAAATCATCGCCATTTTGAATGTAGAAAATTTTTTTTTTTTTTTCGGCTCGAGTTTAAACGTTAAATTTTTTTTTTTTTTTTCTTATTTAAATTTAAATTTAAATTTAATTCTTTGTTGTCTTTGTTGTTGTTGTTGTTGTTTATTTATTAAATGTAATTTATTACCTTAATTAAAAATTTTAAAGCCCCCTAAAATTATTTTTAGAGTTGTTAAAAAAAAAAAAAAAAATAAGTTTGCTAATACAATTTAAATTTTATAACTTCTGACCGAATTATTATTATTATTATTATTATTATTTATTTATTTTATTTACGTTATAAATAATTAAAAATTAAATTAAAATAAATTTTCTCTCTCTCTCACTCTGTTTTTAAAATTCGCGACGCTGTCAAACCATAATTTTCAGTTAATTCGTCGTTCATTTTCATTTTAGTTTTTCTCTCTCACTCACTCTCTCTCTTTCTCTTCCTCTTGTTTCTCTCTCTTATTTTTTTTTAAATATGTCAAATGGAATTTCAATATTCGACTCCTGGAATATTCAAACCGATAAATTGTCAACGCAAAAAAAAAAAAGAAAAAAAATTTAAATTTTTTCAACTGAAATTTTTTTTGTTATCCCTGTTAAATTGTTTAGGTTAACTTTGGGGTTTTTCTTTGTAATGGGGAAGAGGGAGGGGTATAAAAAGGAAAAATGATATTTTATTAAATTTTTTTTTTTTTTTTAATTTAAACCTTCTTTTTTATTTGAAATTTAATTTCATTTTTTTAATTTCGCACACGCACGAATTTAAAAAAAAAAAATTAATTAATTAAAAAATCAGAAAGAAAGCTCAAAAAAAAAAAAAAAAATTAGAAGCTCATGTCCACCATCGGTGTAAGGCTGTCAACCTCGTTGATTGATCGATTAAACTTTACATAAAATATACATTAGGTCTGTTAGGTTTTTGTATTTATAAATTAAAAAATAAACGGTGATTTTTACATATATATATTTATACGAAGTTGATTAGTCGAAAATATGTGAATACATATATATACGATGTGAATGCGTGCGTGCGTGCGTGCGTGCGTGCGGGATGCGTTCGTTTGAACGTGTGCTCCCGACTGTGGTGTGGGTTTATGTGGGTGTTTAGGCATAACGCAATGTAAGCAAATTTTCACGTATAAAAGCCAAATGTCAAAACTGTTTAAGTTTAATTATACTTTTCTCATTTTATTTATGCACGGCTAAAAGTGTAATTATAAAAAAATAAGGCGAGACGTTGGTAACATTTATAAAATTTTATACGATATTAATTTAAATAAAAAAATAAATCATTTTTACATAATTTTTTCTTTTTTTTTTGGTTGAGTATATACGTAGACCCTGACCTATGGAATTATTTACGTAATTATTTTTTTTTATCATTATTATTATTATTATTATTATCACAACTTGATGTTTGTTTAAATGTGAAAAAATTAAATACCTTGAACGAACAAATTTTGTCGTCCGTAATAAATCATTAAAAATTTTGTTTTCCTACGCTGTTTTCCTTTTTTTTTTTTTTTTTTTTATAAAATTCATTGTCAACAGGAAAATAACAACAGCAACAGAAAAAATTCAATGAAATTTTAAATTTAGTTAAGCTTACGTTAAAAAAAAAAAAAAGTTCCGGTAAAATTTATTATTTTAAACCGAATAATTTGAAAAATCCAATTTATTTATTTTCTATAAGTTTTTTTTTTTTTATTAACGACAGCAAAATTTATTTATTAATTAATTAACGTGCGTGTGTGCGTGCGTGCACCTATTTACCATATATTTGAAATTCATTTAAATTTAAGTCTATTTATAAAAAAAAAAATTTCAATTAAAAAAAATGTCGTTATCATCAATTTTTAATTTTGTAATTTGATAAGGTAACCTTTTCACCACCCAACGAATGCACTTACTTAAAAAAAGAAAAAAATTTTCATCAGTCAATCAATCATTCTTTGTCACGAATTAATTTTTAATTTAAAATTCTTGTTAACAAAAAAAAGGCAAAAGATGTCTAAAATTATTCTTTCCTAATAAATAAAAATAAAAAAATTTTAACTAATTAAAACCCCCCCTCATCTACTCCCTCCCCTCCCTAAAAAAAAAAAATGAGTACGCTCATTTTCTTTAATTATTAATAATTTTATTAATTATTCTCACGGATTATTATTTTTTTTTTTAATAAAAAATAAAAAATACATAATAAACACGTAAATAAATAAAATAACAAGTAATCGTGCGTGTCTTTTTATTAATAATAATAATAATAATAATAATAAATTTTCTCTTATAAAAAATTCTCTCTTAATAATAATAATTATAAATGTTAGAATAAGTGACCTTGAAAATCCGATAATTTATTAATTCACGTAATAATTTTATAATATACATAATATATATAATTATTATTACGTCATTAATAATATTAATAATAATAATAATATAAAAATAGTTTATTGACCTTTGGTTTTTCCCGGAAAAAATTTTTTTGTTTTTGTTTTTGTTTTGTGAAAATTGGCAAACGTTTTTTTTTTTTTTTTTTTTTAATAAGAAAAAATTTCAAGGCAAATGTGAAATTTGATTGTTTCCGACTGAGTTTAATAAAAAAAATTTTTTTTTTCATTAAATTATTTACGGAAGAGAGAAAGAGATGGAAGAACGACGTTTTTTTAAATAAAGTCGCATGTATTATTATTCTATTTAATCGGAAAATTTCGTCTTAAGCACACGTTTAATTTAATGCTTCGTAAACATTCGAAAAAAAAAAAAATTTTCTTTTTTTTTTTTTTTGAGTTAATGGCGTAATTTTGTTGTTGTTGTTGTTGTTGTCGTGTTTAATAAGAAAAAAAAAACTAATTTTAAAGAAACATGAAAAATATTCGTGCCAATAAAATGAATAAACGATTCCACATTAAAAAGACAAAAAAAAAAATTTTTTTTTTCTCTTCTCGTTTCGAAGGGTATTTAAATGTTTAACTTAATAAAAAATGAAGGTCGTCATCATCATCATCATCATCAACGTACGGCCTAGAAATATTATTTAAAACGTTTTCCGTTGCTTTAAAGCGCTATAAACTTGAAATCAGTTTTACTTTATAGCAAAACAAATAATAAACAATTTTTTTTTAATCAGTCGTCGGCTGACGTTGTTCGAATACATTTCATTTAAATTCCAAAATTCCAACAAAATTTAAATTTAAGGGTAAATAATTATTATTATTATTATTATTTTTTCGTTAATAAAACGTTCGTTGTTATTTTTTTTTTTTATCAACATCATTATTTTTTTTTTTTTAATAAATAATTTAGTGTTTTTGAGTGTTTTTGTTTTAAAAACATACAATGACCAATAGTGAAAGACAAAGGGATGAAGAAGTTCCAAAATGGCTGACGAAAGATTTTATAGAAAATTCATTAAGGAAAATATATAATTCCGAAACGTTTAAAATAAAAAGTTTTTTCACAACGATGGCGACCGCAGTCGGAGATCATTATTGCAGTCAAATGTTTCGTGTTAATTACGAATATACCATTCGTGATAACAACACTGATAAAAAATCTTCCGTGATTGTAAAAACGATGCCGCCGGGGGATTTAGGAAAATTTTTAAGTAAAATGCCATCGTTCGATGTCGAATCGGAAGCATTGGGAATCATTCTTCCACGAGTACACGAAATGATGGCGAAAGTTTATCCGAAACAACCGAAATTATGGCCTGATTGTTATTATTATCGTGGATCTCCGGAAAATATTATCGTGATGGAAGATTTAAAATTATCCGGTTTCGTTTTAGGAAATAGATTTCAGGGTTTGGACTACGAACATTCCTCGCTTGTGATTGAATCCCTGGCTAAATTACACGCTACGTCGTTTGTTTTACTTCAAGAAAAACCGGAAACGTTTGAAAATTTAATTAAAATTTTCTCAAAAGTTGATAATGTCGAAATACTCCAAAATACAACCGAAGGTACTATTAATTTTCTAATAGAAGATATGAAAAGTTGGAACGATTTTGATAAGAAATCTATTTACATTGATAAACTATCAAAAGTTGAGGTTTTAAAACGGGTTTTGGATGTGTGGAAAAACAACGACGGAAATTTAAAAGTTCTCATACATGGGGATTCCTGGTTAAACAATTACATGTTTAAATACGGCACTGATGGTAAACTCTCCGGTATGAAATTCGTGGATTTTCAAATAACATCCGTTCATTCTCCAGCCATGGATTTGGTTTGTTTTATATTTTCGAGTGTTTTACACGATAATAAATTGGAAATGATCGACGTACTCCTGGAAAAATATTACAAAATATTTTCTGGTACTTTAAAAAAATTCGGCAGGAATCCGGAAATGATTTATCCGTTCGAAGAATTAAAAAGAAATTTCCAAAGTAAATTATTTTGGGGATTTATTGTTTTTTGCGTTTTCGTACCTTTGATGATGATGCCAAAAAAAGATGTCGTACATCCGGAAAATTTCATAATGAAAACTCAAAACGAATTTAGAAAAAAAGCATTCGGAAGTGATAAAATTCGCAAGTTACTCATTCGAATGATGGGATATTTCATTGATAAGAACGTTATTTGATAAGCAAAAAAAAAACTTCTGGAATATTCTACAACTATGAGAATACTAATAATGGAGGAGAAAATGTGAGGGTAAAGTTTAAAAAAAAAAAACAATTTGCTTTTCTCGATAAACATTTTTACATATTCAGGATACATGAAATTTTTTCATAGGAAAACAAAAAAAAAAAATTAGTATGAAAATATTTTTTCAAGGTCAAATTGCGGATCAACTTTCCTCAACAAACAGGTTTGCTTTTATCAACTACATATTGATTTACCATATAATTTATACGTCATTAATATTTATTATTATTATTATTCTTGCATTACCCGTAAAATTACGAGCAAAAAAAATTTTCGTTTTTTTTTTTAATGTTTTGAATGGGTAAATAATAATAATAATAATAATAATAATAATAATAATATTAATAATTTTATGTATCGTAATTTCCTTGTGATTAAACGCAAAAAAAAAAAAAACAAAAAAGAAAATATTTTTTAATTAATGAATAATTTAAATAAATAAATAAATAAATAAACATGACGCGTTATTATCAGTTTGTTGTTATCATTTTTTCGTTCCTTGGAACATATTATCGTAAAGTAAATGTAACGCGATATAAAAATATAAAAGAAAGAATTGTCACTTATTTATTTATTTTATTTTTTTTCTAATAATAATAATAATAATTTTTTAAAAAGATAAAAAAAAAAATTTGTTTCAGGATAGTATTGTTAATACGTTAAAACAAAAAAAAATAAATAAATAACAAAATAAAAATGACAAACGAGAGCAATCAACAAACGATTCCCGAATGGTTAAACAAAAAGTTTTTGGAAAATTCATTGAAAAAAAACTTTTCGATGTTCGATGGAATGGAATTACGGACTGTAAATGATGTTGATATAAAGGCAGCAACGTCGCCTGGAGAAAATTATGCAAGTCAAATGTATCGATGCATTCTAAACGTAACAACAGCAACAACAACGGATGGAAAACAAGAGAAAAATTTTAAAAAATCAATTATAATAAAATCCTTACCAACTGGAGAAATGAAAAAAGGTTTGGAAAAATTTTCGGCTTTCGAAAAAGAATCACAAATGCTCACGCAAATCCTTCCGCTCATGAACAATTTGTTTAAAAATCATTTTCCGGAAATGAATAAAATCGGTCCGGAATGTTATTATTACGAAAAGTCACCAAATGACGTCATCATAATGGAAGATTTAAAAGAGAAAAATTTCGTTAACGTTAATAGAATGGACGGATTGGACGAGGAACACACGACGATGGTTCTAGAAACTCTAGCTAAATTTCACGCGTCTTCAATGGTCCTGAAAAAAAATAATCCGGAATTGTTCGAGATATTTAAAAAACAAATCTGGAGCGAAGAAAATTCGGACATGGTGAAAGAATTTACCGGAAGCACGATGAAAGTTTTATCCGAAGATATATTGACGTGGACGAACACGGATTGTGGGAAAAAATATTCGGATAAATTAAAAAATTTAAAAGAGAACATAGTGAGTAAATTAGTCGATTTGCTGGAACCGGAAAAATCAAAATTAAACGTTTTAATACACGGGGATTGTTGGGTTAACAACATCATGTTCAGCTACGAGAATTCCAAGACGACGACGACGACGACTGGAAAATTATCGAAAATAAAATTAATCGATTATCAATTGTCGTGCATGAATTCTCCAGTCATAGATTTACAATATTTTTTATTCACGAGCGTACAATTCGATTTGAGATTTAAAAATTTGGATAAATTTCTTAACGTTTATTACGTTTCCCTAATGAAAGCGTTAAATACGTTAAACGGTCATCATAACGACTTCAACGATATCAAATACGATAACGAGGAAGATTTTAAAAAAGAATTCGAAAGTAAATATTTATTCGGTTTCATAGTTTTCTGCACCATTTTCCCTCATTTCACGGTTCCAGGTGACGAAACATTGAAACCCGACGAACTCGTCAAAGGAAATGAAAATAAATTAAAAAATATTTTTAAAAAAGAAAATTTAAGAAATAAATTAATCGAAGGTTTTAAATTTTTCGAAGAGAAAAATGTTTTTTAAATACCCGGAGTAAGTAGTAATTTTCAACGGGGAGGGGGTGGGGTGGGGTGGGACGGCTAAAAAATAATAATTGTACACCGATGACGTCAATTGATAAAAATGATAAAAAATAACGTGTATATATATATATATATATATATATTTATATAAATGTTAAACGGGAAAATATTTACGAATGATAAAAAAAAAAAAATTCCAGTTCGTCATCTGTTAGTTGTTTACATTTAATTATACTTTTTCAAATTGTTTCGCGTATGACTAAAAGTATATTAATTATAAACAAGGCGCAAAGTTTTAATATTTACATAATGAAATTAAATTATAAATAAATAAATAAATAATAAATTTTTTTTTAGTGATTCTGATCGATGATAATAATAATAATAATAATAATAATAATAATAATTAATTGATTTTTTTTAAAATCATTATTATCAAAACTTCAAAAATCTCGTTGATTTCATAAGAAAAATGTTTTGTAAGGAAAACACGACGGGGAAAAAGTCAATAAAATTTCACTTTAGGCTAAAAAAATAATGTTATCATGATTATGTTGATAATTAACGGGGGATTTTTGTTTTGTTTTCTGAACAAATAAAAGTCTAAAGTAATTTTCTATAAAACCCCAAAAGCTTAAAGTATTTTCGTAAAATTGTTTTTTTTTTTTTTATTTACAATCGATAAATTTTTTTTTTGAAATAAAAATGTGAATTATGTAATAATAATTAAAAAGCCGTTTGTTTACACATTTTTGTTATTTGAGGTACGTTTAAGGTTACCTCTCTAATCATAAAAAAAATTTGAGTTGATAAAAAAAAATAAAAAATGGCGTGATAACTAATTTTTTGACTAATTTTAACATTGCCTGATTAATTATTATTAATTATTAATCTTCCATGAGATATTTAAAAAAAAAAAAACATAATAACAACTTACATAAATAAAAAACTTTGGAGTAAAATTGGGTTGGAGAAAAAGAAAAAACCATCACGCATGTCTTAGTAATAATAATAATAATAAAAAATTGAACTTTGATTTTTTTTTCTTGTTTTTTATATTCAAATTTTTAAATATAAATATTATATTATTCATAATTTTTTTTATCTTTGATTTTCCTCCGAAAGAAAAAAAAAAAAAATATTCATATGATTTGATTTGTTTGTAACTGGCAAATGATAATAATATTAGTGCCAATAAATATTAAATGACTTCTCATTAAACAAAAAATTTTTTCTTCTCGTTTCGAAGGGTATTTAAATGTTTAACTTAATAGAAAATGAAGGTCGTCATCATCATCATCATCATTATCGTACGGCCTAGAAATTTTATTTAAAAACGTTTTTCCGTTCTGTCGCAGAACAAATTTATAAACAATTTTTTTTTTATTAATTAATAAAACTAATTAAATTATTTTCCATATGGTTTTTAATTTTTTAAATAAATATATATATTTATTTTATAACAGAAAAGTATTTCGCGAGTCGTAAAACCGTCATGACCAACAATCGACAAAGAGATGAAGAGCCTCCAAAATGGCTGACTCAAGATTTTATAGAAAATTCATTAAGAGAAGGTTTAGATTGCGAATCGTTTAAAATAAAAAATATGAAAATGTCAATGGCGGCCGCTGTCGGTGATCATTACGGAAGTCAAATGTTTCGCGTTAATTACACGTATTCCACCGACGATAGAAAAACGGAAAAAGAATGTTCGATTATTGTCAAATTGGTACCACCGGGTATCATGGGTGAGTTTTTAAATAAAACTCCTGCTTTTGATATCGAAGGAGAAGCATTGAAAATCGTTCTACCACGAGTACACGAAATGATGGCGAAAGTTTATCCGGAACAACCGAAATTATGGGCTGATTGTTATTATTATCGTGGTTCTCCAGAAAATATAATCATTATGGAAGATTTAAAACTATCCGGTTTCACTCTTGGTGATAGATTTGTAGGTTTAGACTTTGATCATTCTCTTCTTGTTATCGAATCCATGGCGAAACTTCACGCAACAACATACGTAATGATAGAAGAAAATTCAAAATTATTTGAAAATTTTTATAAACTTTTCTGGAATGCTGATAACGTTGAAATGTTTAAAACTATGACGGAGGGTACTATCGAATTTCTAGCAGAAGATATGAAGAATTGGAGCGATTTCGATAAGAAATCTATTTACGTTGATAAACTATCAAAAGTTGAAATTATTAAGGGAATCATAAACGTGTGGGAAAGAGATGAAAAAAATTTAAAAGTTCTCATTCATGGAGATTCCTGGTTAAATAATTTCATGTTTAGATACGGCACTGATGGTAAACTCTCCGGTATGAAATTCGTGGATTTTCAAATAATGTCGATTCATTCTCCAGCCATGGATTTGGTTTATTTTATATTTACGAGTGTTTTACACGATAATAAATTGGAAATGATCGACGTACTCCTGGAAAACTATTACAAAATATTTTCTGGAACTTTAAAAAAATTCGGCAGGGATCCGGAAATGATTTATCCGTTCGAAGAATTAAAGAAAAATTTCGAGAGTAAATTATTTTGGGGTTTTGTTGTTTTTTGCGCTTTCGTACCCATCATGATGATGCCAAAAGAAGATGTCGTACATCCGGAAGAATTCATTACAAAAAATGATAAGACGGAATTTCATAGAAAAGTTTTCGGGAAGGAAAGAATAAAAAATTTACTTATCAAAGTCATCGGATATTTTATTGATAAGAACGTTATTTGATAAACAACAAAAAAAATTTCTGGAAGTAGAAATCCTGAAATTAGAAAATGTGTGTGCGTGTGTGCGAGAAGAAGTAATATGGTGCAGGAAGAAACGTGTTAAGTTGGTAATAAACCTATCAAAATATTTTTGTTTTAAAAAATTTGAGTACCTAAATAATTTCGTCCAACAACAACGACAAACAAATCTAGGTCAATTTGTGGTATCAAATTTTGATTTAATAGTTTTATTATTATTATTATTATTTTCGTAACGAATTTAATTTTATAAGGGTTTGATTTTTATTGCATTCGTATTTAAACCACATTTTTGTTTTTTTTAAATGTTGGTAACAATGTAAAATAATAATATTTTTAATTAAAAAGTTTTTTAAATTTTTTGATTTAAGATAATAATAAAAAAAAAATAAAAAATTTTCCTTACTTAATGAAAAACAAACAAAAAAGGAAAAAAATTCCAAAATTTTGATTTTATTATTATTATTATTATTATTATTTTCGTTCTAGAATATTCGTTACGTTTTTTTACGATATTAATTTTAAAAAATTTGATGTCGATTCAAATTTATTTTAAAAAAAATTTTTTTATTCCTTCTTTTTTCTTTTCTTTTTTCTTGTTTGATTGTTCAACGCACGAACGGTTTTTTTTTCTTGTCCTGGAGTCATTAACGACTAGAATATCTCATTCCAGGTTGGGAAAAAAAAAAAAATTTATGATAAATTTTATTATTATCATGTTGTTATGTGGAATATTAAATAGAAAAAAAATGATGACGTCACGAACAAAAGTTTTCTTTTTTTTTTGTGCTACTCCTCAAAAGAATGGACCTTTTAAAGTAAAAAACCGTGTAAAACTTCAATTTATTTATATGTATGTTATCCCTAACATTCTTCAAATAATAATAATAATAATGATAATAATAATAGTAATAATAATAATAATATATTTTAACGTGAAAAGTGAAAAGTGAAAGAAAAAAAAAAATTCATACATATTATAATTAACGTCGTGAATTTTTCGTACGCCCCCAAGTGTACCCCCAAATCCTCGTCCCCGTCCTCCCCCCCCTTCATAATCCCATTTTCCTTTCATTATCATTATCATTATCATTATCATTATTGTTATTTTGTTTTGTTTTTCGATTATTTAAAATTGACAGAATAAAACAAAAAAAAAAAAGTTTTTAAGATTTCCTTCATTTTTTTTTTTGGAACAAAAGAAATTTTTTTTTTTTTGAGTGGTTTCATTTAAAAGCAGAAGAAAAAATTTTTCTTTTTTTTCGGACGATAATAATAATACAAAATTTATTTTCTTCTGCTTTTTTTTTTAACTCCCCTCCCCTTTCCTCCTCCTCCTTCCTTCCTTTTTTTTTCTTCTTTCTAGTAATAATTTCGAAAAATGTTTTTTTGGTTTTTTTTGGTTTTGGGGGGGGTTTGGAAACTCTCATATTGTGCATTGATTTGTCGGCAACTGTTTTACGAGATTTTAAATAATAATAATAATAATGATGATGATGATAAACATAAAGTTTATTTATTTTTTTTGTTCGCTGTTGCGCTTTTTCATTTTTCCATTTTTTTTTTTTTTTTATTTTCTTTTTCCTTCGAGTTTTCCTTCTCACCCCCTTCCCTCTCCTTTTTTTTCTCCTTCAACACATTTTCTCCCTTTCTGGTTTGTTTATTATTATTATTACTATTATTATTATTATTTTACGATTTTCACTCACATCTCTTTTTTTTTCGATTTGTCAGCTTTTATTTCCCATTCAATCGACTACTTTTGATTTTTTTTTCCCTTCGTATTTTCTATGCCAACATTTTATTATTATTATTATTATTATTTTTTCCCGTTCAGCGTTTTTTTTTTTTTTTTATATTTTCGTATTAATCAAATATTTGATTTCCAGTCATCTTTTATTAATAATATTTTTAACC